TTAACAGTCTCTTATAAAAATTAGCGATCTTTATAGAATTATCTTACAGTTGGCCATGTCACTAAACTTCTTTAATTAACTCTAAAAGCTTTACAATGGATCCTCTGGGTTTTCCAGGAACATAATCATCAGCAACCAATTAAAATTTCATCTGTTCTTTTCCGATATTGGTTCCATGTCCTAAGACATTATCTAGAATTTCCAGAACCTCAGTAACAAAGCTACCTTCTGGTCACCACGTTTACTGTAACTGCCTCAATGAGGGCAGTATTTCCCAAAGTGAGTTCTGTGAATGTTGACTACGTGAGGAAAAGGGTTCCACTGAGAAACAGGTTTGAGAAGCTATGTGTAGTGATCCACTTCTTGAGATTCACCGTGCACATTTCTGTCATAAAGTCTCTGACAGATTCTTTGACAAGCCTTTCCCAGACTCACTGGACTATGGAACCCCTCTATTTTCCCATGTAAATGTCTAGGAGCATCCTATGAATTAGCTATGCAGACACTCTTAGGGACATGTGCTTCTTTCCTCCACCTTTAAATAAAATTTTGGTTGTCATGTTACCATCTGTTACTAGTTTTCACAGATTTTTGAATACTGGGAGGTACTCTCTCAGCAACTATGCTGCAGACCATGCCCTTGCCCTGCTGGTGGCTTCAGAGCATCAGGGGCTCCTGGAAGCTCTTTCTAAGGGGCCCCCCATTCGGCATACTTCACCATGCACCCCCCACTCATGCCTTTGCAAGCAATACTCATCTCTTCTCTCCAAGCCCCAGGCCCCCATGCCAGCCTCTCCTGCCATCTCTACTGGGGTGGCACTCGGCACCTCAAACTCAACACATCCCTGTTGAACTCATTGCCTTTCTCCCTCCGACACCCTGATTCTCTTCCTGTGTTGTCCATCTGAGTGGTTGACATCAATCAGCATGCACCTGGCTGCCTGAGGCATGGGCTCAGGGTCTCCCCACCTTCATCCACTTAGAACCCATGTCCTCTGGATTTGGCCTCCTACAGTTCTCTTCCATCTGCCTTCTTTACCCCAGCCTGTGGCCATGGTCTCGGTACAGCCCACCGCCGTCCTCCCTTCAATGGCGCCCGCACCCTCCTCAGCCAGGCTCCCACCCACCATGATGCCCACAGGAGTCCAGGGATCCTCTTGGAAATGCAAATCAGATCCTGGAAACACCCCTCTTCTGGTTCTTCTCCCTTTTACTCCCTTCCAGTCAGTTGGCCTGACATTGTGAGGGCTGCCTGCCTCATCTTCCCCCCATGAGTCCCTGACCCCCTGTAATCATTGTTTCTTTGTCTGTACCTCTGCTTTAGAAGCTCTTGAGGTCAGGGACCACGTCAGTGGCCCAGCACAGAGCCTGGCACACAGAAACCCTTCAAAAACTATGGGTTCAATTACAACTTTTGTCATTTGGCAAGCAAATGTGATGAATTATATGAACAGACTTCCTGATATTCGACGATTGCCTTATTCCCAGGATAAACTCTATTTTATCGTGCTGGGAGTTTCTTTTTCTGCATTATTGAATCAAGCCTCAGGATTTTTTATGTCTATTTTTAGAAGGAAGACAGGTCTGCACATTGTCTTGGACATGTTACCTCTGGCAGCTTTGAGTATAGGAATCACACTGGCTATAAAAATAAATTGGGTGGATGTCAGAATATATATATATATATATGTATATATGGTGTGTGTGTGCTCTGAAACGATTTCCATGGCGTTGTATTATCCTTGCTAATAATTCCTTAGAAATGAATAAGAATGCACTGGCAAAAATAGATGATCTGACTCTCTATTTAGAGGTAATTTTCAGAGAACTCTGAAAGTGCTAGAGAACTTGAGTTCCCTCCATGGTTATGGGACTTATGGTGTTTTCTAACATTTTCAGCTTTGAAATATTCTCATTTCTCAGGAAATCCCTGGCTTCCCAGGGTGTCCTCATCCCTGACTCAGAGATAGTCAACTGTTCACCTTCAGGTTCTGACACTTCTGCAAATGGACTGTTGGTCACACAGTCTATCTACCTGCTGGCAGCCGTGAAGGGGAAAACAACAACAAGAAAAAATGGCTTTGGGTGGGGACAATTTAGCACAGAGCCTGCTGGGGTGTAGTTAAAATAAACGAAGCTTTGCTTCCTTGAGCAATCGACACATTTCAGGCCGAATTGAGAGCCAAAGCTTTGCTACCACTAGGAAGCAATTAACAACGCACAATTTCCAAATTTGTCTTTTTAACCAATATGGGGGCAACCAGGGGCGGAGGGGACGCAAGCTGCCACCTGGTGCCCAGACCATTCTGTGGCTCTCCAACTCTATCTACTTCCATGCCCTTGGCCAACCTGAAGTTTCCCATTTCCCCCATCCAGCAGTAGAGAAAAGGGGTGGGGGATCTCACTGTGTCCACACCTCATGCCAAATTTCTGAAAATTCTCAGACACCGAAGGATGCTGGCTGGAGGGCCCCAGGTGGTAATGGAGGGGCTGGAAGGAGCTGGTCTGGGGAAGGAGAGAAATGAGGGGGGGTGCAGAACATGTGGACAGCTACTCCACTGGGCCATTCCAAAGACCCCTGACTGTGAATGGAGGCTGGGACTGGATCTCTGGGCTAGGGTCCACCCTCAGCTTCCCTTCCCAGGGAGTGCAGCACCCCAAACCTGGACACAGGGCTAGAGAGCCTCCCTAAGCCCTCCGATAGCTGGTCCACCTCATCTGCTGGCCATCCGGAGGGAGGGGGGTTGAGAGAGGACCCGAATTGGGGGTCTTCCAGCAGCGGCCTAGTGTGGCAACTGCCCCAAATGCCTTCTCTTCTGTCCAGATAAGCATCCTGGTGTAGGTTACGTTGTGTACACCCTTTCTCATCTTTCAGTCTGTGTTTCCTCACTCTCTCTCTCTCTTTATGTCAGAGGTTTGCATTCACTAAGGTTCTCTTCTTGATTGGTTCAATTATTTCTATTTCCTAATTTTTTAATTTCTGCTTTTCCGAAACTACCTCCTTATTTTTGTCCTCCTTAGGTTTTTGGTTTGCAGTTCTTATGGACTTTTGTTCTAACATTACTGCAGGGTCCATGTGTATTCATTCTCTCTTGTGTAATCTTGGAAAGCACCTGCGAATTTGCCTCTGAATACAGCTTTGGCCACACTCTATATAGGTTTTGATCTGTAGTACTATCACTTTCATTAATTTTCCCAGCTCTAATAGTCTTCCAAGCAGGTTGTTTTTTTAACTTTTCAAAGAAATTGGACTTTTTATTTCAGTTCATATATCCCTTCCTTCCACCGCGTTTTAGGGCACTGAGTCAGAAAAGATAGCCCGGACAGTCTTTGCTGTATAAAATTCACTGGAATTTTTTTTACAACCTAAAGTACTTTTGTAATTTTCAAGTGTTCTAGGATTCCTCAAAAAGGAGTCACACAGGGCAAAAAAGAAAATGATAGAACTACTAATTTAACTTTATACGTTATTATTATTTTATTTGAAACTTCTATGCCTTTTAAAATGTAATCTGTTAAAGATCTTAAAAAGAGAATGAAAGACTCCTGCGGTTAGTTTTTTTCCAATTTCTGCCTTGTTCTGACAGTCTTCTTTGATACATCTTATGTTCTCCCAGGGGTGCATGAAAGAGCATAACTGGTGTCCTTACTGTGGCCGCTTCTACTTTAGAGGGATGTGCTTCCTAGGGTAAAGAGAGTGGGCTCAAGATCTACTATTCCTGGAATTCATCTGGCCACATGAGCCCTCCATTGTCGTTTTTTATACCACGGGCCTTGTAGGTTGTGTGCAGTTCGATTTTACTGTTGGAGACCAAGATTCTTTGTCTTTGAGCAGATGAATTAACCCTGTACCTAATTACCATGCCTGATGATTGATTTTTGTACACACTGAGCAAAGTTAGACGATGGATTCTAGAATTTGGCTGCAGGGTGAGAAGCGCAACTCCGCAGGAGCCAAATGACACTGGCCACTCACCCAGAACACCACCAACCCACTTTAAGCCTCAGGGTTCTTATCTGTGAAACAGGGATTGTCATACATCCGCCTCCCCATCTGCCCTTGGCTTCAGTGAGTTAATATGGGTAAAGTACTTCTGACTTGCCCAGCACAGGGCTTCTTCCTTCCTCACCATCTTCCCTTTCTCTGCACCCCCTTATCTTTCTGTCTCAGGTCTTGGGTCACTGTCTCTGGGGGCTTCCTACCCCAGCTGCACAGACCCCTGCACGCTGCTAGGGAAGACAACACCAAGCTTGACAGCAAGAGAAGATAGGGAGGGCAAGAGAGCCCAGTGAGGGCAGAAGCCACACAGCATAAGAACATGGGTGGAAGAGGTGGGAGGGAGGGGAGAAGTATCCTGTGTTTCTGATGCTTTGATGTCTGGGGCCATGCTGACCCTCCTGGGGTTAGCCAATTCCTAGAGATAATAAACAACTCGCTCTGGAGCATGCTTTTCAAATGCAAACCAACCAGTTCAGAGTCCGCACCCCCAGCCACCTCCTTCATTGGGCTCTCACCACCCTGCCTGAGTCACTCAGGGCAGGTACTAGCCACCTACGACCCAGAGCCCACAGGAATTATTCACGCTGGCCAGTCCTGTGCTTGCTTACTCTGCCACACTCAGCCCTTCCTGTGGAGACAACAGTCCCCCTCTCCTTCTGCCTTCTGACCCATCCTGGTGCTGCCCCAGTGGCCCTGTGTGAATGATAAACCGACTTTTCCATGGCAGTCACCTCCTGATCATCAGTTAGCCTCTCCACACATGAATAATAACAAAACCTACATTATAAAACCAGGGGTGAGGTGAAAGGGGATCAGGAATATGGGGGAGACTCACGAGTTTCTTGTCTCTTCCAGGTACCACGGGCCGAGCTGGGGACAGGCACCAAGGTTTTGGCTTTCAGAGGAGATCTGTGCCTCACTGGAGGGTCCCCATTCACCCCACAGAGATCACGAGAGTTGGGGAGGCTCCACTGTGTCTGGAAGCCACCAGCTCACTCACCTTCCCGTAGCTAAGCAGGATTATCCGCACCAACACGACATTGATGTGGGCCCCCAAGGACTCGTCATGATAGATTTCATTGACCTGAAAGACAACCAGGGAGGTGTCAGCAGGAGCCACAGGCCTGAGGACCACCTGCAGATGACAAGGTGGAGCCCAAGGGAGGCTGTCAACCCGCCCACGCTGTGCGGTGCCCTCCACAAACAGGGATGACAGTCCCTGTCTCACAAAGCTTAACAGCAAGATGCCATATTTGTCACCACCGCTAAATTGGATTGCCAGAAGCCTTGCCATGAGGTCACAGGGGCAGGGTGCACATCCCTAAATGTGGGTCAAACTAGATTTTTTAGTCCACAGTGAGACGATAGCTCTAAAAGCCAGTTTATAAGAGAGAAAGGGGTTTTTGTCTCCAAAGTATTGCTTTATCTCTCACAGGCAAAGCCTGGCCAATTTGGCTCACAGACTTTGACTGAAAGTCATGGTGTGGAAGCCAAGAAGGCAGTTACATGGAGAGGTCCCGCTGCAGCTGGAGGGGACAGGAGGGAGGAAAGGGGGAAGAAAGACCGAGAGGAATGGCTAGGCTTCACTTTACTCCTTCCACCCCTGACCTCCAGCCCATGTCTCGAGTCACGGGTGGGGGGTGGGGAACAGGGCAGGGAGCATAAAAATAGCCCTGATATTTGGGAAGAAGTCAAAGGCAGAGAGGGCTTGATTCTGCTGTCCGGGACCTGGGAAGGGACAGGTTCATATGGAGAAGGGGTGGCTTCAGAGAGCCCAAATGGAGTACAGCTCCCAACTACACATAGGGGACCCAGGGATAGTGGGCAGGATAGCTGCGGGCTGGCCTGTGGGTTGGCTTCAGAGAGAGTCCAGGGGGTGCTGTCCTGCAGGAGGGCTGTCCTGCAGGGGGGCAGACGTTGTGTGGCCACGGCAGAGAGAATAAACCCTGAATGACCCCATCCGCAGGGCCAAAGCCTGGAGGGTCAGTGCCCAGGACAGAGCATGCTGGGACAGATGTGTGCAGATGCAGGGGGGCTAAGCCATGCACCACCCCTATCCTGAGGGAGGAGGGACAGGAGATGAACAGCCCTGGTATGGGCTGAATTGCATCCCCTCAAGTTCCTAACCCCCAACATAATGCTATTTGGAGGTGGGGCATTTGAGAGGCTATTAGGATTGGCTGATGTCATGAGAGTGGGGTCCCCCGCCATGTGAGGACATGGCAAGAAGGAGGCCATGTGCAAGCCAGGAAGAGAACCCTCACTAAGAGCCAAATTGGCTGACACCTTGATCTTGGATTTCTAGCCTCCAGAACTATGAGAAATTAATGTGTGCTGTTGAAGTGACCCAGCCTGTGGTATATTGTTAGAGTAGCCTGAGCTAAGGCAAGCCCAGAGTCAGAGCTTACCCTCTGACCTGATTATTCCCCCTAAAGCCTTCTGAACAGGAAGAGCCTGAGCCACCTCTCAGGGGCCAGGTCACATTTTCCCTTCAATCCTGGAGTGAGGGTGGCATCAAATATAAGAACTAAAAAATAGCTGCCTTTTTCTTCACCCATCAGCTTTGGTGTGTAGATGTCCATCCTGCCAAGTGTATAACCTCCTCCCCCCCACCCCAGTCCAGCAATGAGCCCCTTATAGATTTGCAATGGGACTTCTCAAGCTGAGCCACCCTGGCCTTTCACAGGGCCCACCACCCACCCCGGGGTCCCGAGTTGCCTGGCCTTGGACTGTCCTTCCCCACGGACCTTAGCAGGTACCCAGTAGACCCAGGAGAAAGCTATTGGCCCCATTGCATGCCAAGCATCATGTTAGCATTTGGGATTCAGTAACCAGCCTGGAACTGGCCTTCTGTCAAAAACAGCTCCACCATCATGATGATGCTGATGAGGACCTTTAGAGATAGGCAGGGAAATTGAGGGCATATTAATGGTGAATCTGCCCCAGTGATGATTAGTGGGCTCCCTAAGGATGTGGCATTTCATCTCAGAGATAAGAAATGAGAAGGAGTTAACTCAGCAAAGCAGGGATAGTGTTCTGGGCAAAGAAAGTAGCATATGCAAATGTCCTGGGGGTCAGAGGCAGTAAAGTGTGTTCTAAGAACTGCGCAGGGGGAAAGGGCCTCTGAGGTCAGACTACACAAGTATTCAGGTAGTGAGAAGGATTCCAATTCTGTTCAAAGAGCAATAGAGGATATGGAGCCCTGAGAGAAATATAATGACACTGCATTTTACAAAGATTACTCTGCCTCCTTTATGGAATGTAGATTGAAGTGCCCACTACAGCAGTTGAAGTGTCAAGTGTGGGGCTCAGATTTGGGGATGAGTGGAGAGAAAGAACAGATGTCAGGAGTGACGTGGACTAGAATTGGGGAGGGCACCTCCTATACAGCCCTGGGACACCCTGGGGCCTGCTTGGCCTCATCCTCTTGTTGGCAAATGGAGGTGGTCCATCTTTGCTTTGCATGGAGTCAGGGAGGAAAAATGTCCCGGGGTCATCTCTCAGAGCTTCCCCAGAAAATGAGGGGCTTCAGGCTCCTTTGACACCCTGATAGTGCCTCTCTGGAGCCCATGTTCTAATTTCACTTCTCAGAGCAGGCCTAGGGGTGCATCCCAAGCGGAACTGGCCCCTCAAGTGCACAGTAAGGCTGTAAGCCTGTGGTGTTACAATCTTTATGAAGACAGGAAACCTGCCTTGATATTTGGAAGGGATTCAGGGCTGAGTTCACAGAATTATCTAGATCATTTTATGCTCCCAACAGCCCTTGGAGGCCAGAATGAGAGGTGGTCAATCCCACCTGAGCAAAGGGTAAGCTGAGGTTCTGAGTGAGGGTATGCTTGCTGGTTCCTACAGGGAGGGAGGTCCCCTTCCCAGTTCCTGGCCCAGATCTTGCCCATCAGGGCCCAGCATCCTCCTGTTCCCCCGGTCCCTGCCACTATGCCCAAAGGTAGCCACTCGCATCTTGGGTAAGGGGTCCCATGTCCTTGGATACTGAGCAGGCCTGACCCTGACTCCTGATTTGGGACAGGAGGTAACCAGAACCCCAGGGGCCCCACCACTCAGTGCTAAGCTCTATGAGGCAGAGGCCCACATCCTGCTGGGGGTGGTGGCAAGGCGAACTGAGTCTGGGGTGTCAGGCCACTAAGCGGACACTGGACAGGGGAGGCCCTGCCTTCCAAGCCGCCTGTTGGCTGCCAGCTTGCATTGGCTGGGCTGGGCTATGGAGAAGCACACCCATCAGAGAGCCAGTGAGGAGGCTGGGCCATGGGTCAGGTTGGCAGCCAGGCCTGCTCTGGAGACTCCCCCAGCCACCCCCTGACCCCAGTCGCTTTTAACTGCAATGAGCCTTTCATGGTTTCTCCCTTAAGAAGCCTCTGTCCCTTCCACGGGGGATACCTCTCCACATGGTCTGTTCCTCTAGGAGAGTCAGTGGGCCATGCCCTGGCCTCCCTCTATGATACCTCTCAGGGAATGCAGGGCAGTGCTGAGGAGAGGGCCACCCACCACCCTTTCCCTCTGCCGGTCTGAGGAGTGGGCCCTGCCCTGCTCCCCAGGGTGACATCAGCTTTTCAGGGGGCTGTAAAATTGCCTCAGCCCCGGAGCGCAGCTCCCTTCCATTCCCCACGAGATCCCGCACAGATGCTAGAAGCCAATGGGACCCACCTGTGCATAGAGACCATTGGGAAACGATGAGTCAAATTCCTTAATAGGAACACAGCTACAACATTTCTGCCAAGCAGAGAGCTGACAGACGTGGCAAAAAGGGTCACTGAAGACGGAAGACAGCCTCCAAACATCTCCCTCACATCGTCCCACTCCTGCCTGACCCCAACCCCATCTCCCAGGCAGGCAGGCAGGCAGGTGGCAGGGGCTCCCAACTGCATTTCTGCCTCTTGTCCTGCCCACACCCCCATGCACCGTTCTTCAGGACGGTCACCACTCAGCAGATCTGACCTCCTCTTCTTCTGCCTGAAACCCTCAATGGCTCCCCACTGCCTTTAGGAGCAGCCCCGGTACCTTGGCACGGCACTCGGCACTCGGCACTCACAGCCCTTTCTAAGCTGGCCCTGGCTGGCTGCTCTGTGTTCCCCTTCAGCTACTTTGCCTGGGAGGCCCCAATCTCAACAGCTCCGCCTTCTGCAAAGCCTGGCTGCCCTCTCCGGCTGCTTGTGCAATGGAATTCCCTCTCCCCCTCTCCAGCCCCAGAATTCTTGAAATATCTGAAGAGCATCTGACAAAACAAAGTCATGGTAATAAATGTGTTTCAAAGAAGGGAGGGGGCGGTGACCCTCCTGCTTAATTCCCATCCACTCCAAGGCCTTCCCACTGAAATCAGAATAAAATCAAAGCCCTACAGGCTCTTCTCAGATTGCCCTGGTCTTGCTCACTGTGGTCCAGCCACTGGCCTCTGTGTATCTTGCATGGAGAAACCATCCTTACCTCAGGACCTTTGCACTTGCTGTGCCTTCTGTCTTCTCATGCTTTTCCCCCAACACAACTGTCTTAGCTCACAGTACCCCCTAAAGTAGTTGCTCCCAGCCTGGACTATGCACTTGATAAGAGAGGCACCGTTCCTCCTTGCTCACCGCTGTGTCCCCAGTAGCGTGAATGAATGAATGGGTGAGTAACTTTGGAGAATGTGGAACGATAGGAAATAGGCAAAAATGTGTGACAGCGGCAGGACTCATGATGCCCTGTAATGACCGAGACCCTAGCTACATGCCCAAGTGCATCCCCATCCCTACTCCACCCTCCTGGAAACCTGTGTGCTAGGGAGGCTGCTCTCCTCTGCTCAGACCACAGGGGGAGGGGAAGCCAGGACAGTGTCCTTGAGCCCTGTCTTGAGAAATTGATCCTGGAATCTTTAAACCTTAGGGGGAAATGTTCAAAGCCGCAGCCCTTCTCTGTACAGAGAGAGGCCAAGGGTTCTCTTGTTTGGGGAAACACACTGTAATGTGCCTTTTGCTTTTGCAAAGATGCGGCCAAGTTTCTGTTCTGGAATAGACAATAAGGAAGGACACAGGCTCTGCATGATAATGTAAAAGTTGGCCTTCTTTGTGGCATAGTTCCACCCTGGTGACCAAG